TTTTTTGCATGTGGATGCCCAAGTTCTTCCATCTAGCACCATTTGTTGAAAAACTATCATTTCTCCATTGTATTGACTTTTTTCCTTTGTCAAAGAACAGTTGATTTTATTTATGTGGGTCTATTTCTGGGTTCTCTATTTTGTCTATTGATCTATTTGTCTATCCTTCCACCAATACCACACTGTCTTTATTTCTGTTGCTTTATAGTATGTCTTGAAGTCAGATAGTGTTAGTGCTTCAACTTTGTTCTCCTTCAATAGCTGTTTTGGATATTTTGCCTTGCTAATCTTTAGAATCAGTTTGTCAATATACACAAAATAACTTGATGAAATTTTGATTGGGATTGCACTGAATCCATAGATCAAGTTGGGAAAAACTGACATCTTGACAATATTGAGTTTTGTTATCCATGAACATGGAATATCAATCCATTTATTGTGTTTAGCTCTTTATTTTATTCATCAAAATTTTGTAGTTTTTTATATAGGTCTTCTATATATTTAGTTGGATACTTAATTTTTCCTGCTAATGTAAATGATACTGTGTTTTAAACTTAAAATTCTACTTATTCTTTGTTAGTATGCAGGAAAGTGATTAACCTTCTGCATATTAGCCTGGTATCCTGCAACCTTGCTATAATCGTTATTTGTTCCAGTAGTGTTTTGTTGATTCTTTTGGATTTTGTATTTAGGTGATAACGTTGTCTGTGAACTAAGATGGTTTTATTTCTTCTTTCCCAATCTTTTTATTAAACCCTCACCCGAGGATATGTTTATTGATTGTAGAGAAGGGAGGGAGGAGAGCGAGAGCGAGAGAGAGAGAGAGAGAGAGAGAGAGAAAGAGAGAGAGAATATCAATCAGTTGCCTCCCATATGTGCTCTGACTGGGGATTGAACCCAAAACCTAAGTATGTGCCCTGACAGAGGACCAAACCTGCAACCTTTTGCTGAATGGGACAATACTCCAAATGAGCCACTCTGCAGGGCTTTTCTTTTCCAATCTTATGTATTTTATTTCCTTTTATTGTCTCATTGCATGAGCCAAAACTTCTTGTACAATCCTTGTACAAAAAGGAGTGGTAAGAAGGAACACTTTTGCCTTGTACCTGATCTTAGTGGGAAAGCTTTGAAGTTCTCACCATTATTATGTTAGCTGAAGGGTTTTTTAAAATTGTACTTTTTTCCATTACTATTTATCCCCCTTATACCCTCCTTCCTCCCCACACTCACCACACTGTTGTCTGTGTCCATGAATCCTTTTTCCTTTTTGCTTGATGAAGGTTTTTTTTTTTTGTAGCTATTTATTTGTCAAGTTGAGAAGTTCCCCTCTACTGCGAGTTTGCTGAGCATTTTTTATAAGGAAAGGGTGTTGGATTTTGTCAAATGCTTCTTTTGCACTTATTGCTATGGTCACATGATTTTCTTTTTTAGCCTATTGATGTGATGGATTACATTAATTTATTTTTAAATATTGAACCAGTCTTGTCTACCTGAGATAAATCCCCACTTAGCCACAATGTATAACTCTTTCTATAGATTATTGAATTCTGTTTGCTAATATTTGATGAGGAATTTTACATTTATGTTCATGAAGGATTCTAGTCTGTAGTTTTCTTTTTTTGTAATGGTATCATCTGGTTTTGGTATTCAGGTGATGCTAGATAGCCTCACAGAATGAATTAGGGAGTATTCTCTCTGCTTCTATCCTCTGAAAAAGATTCTGGGAAATCTGGTATAATTTCTTCCTTTAGTATTTGGTAGAATGTAGCAGTCTGGTTCTGCTGCTTTCTATTTTGAAAGATTATTAATTAATGATTCATTTTCTTTAATAGATAAAAGCCTATTCAAATTATTTATTTCTTCTTGTGTGATTTTTGGTAAATTGTATCTTTCAAGGAATTAGTCTATTTCATTTTCAAATTTGAATTTAGTAAATCACATTTCAGGCTATCAAATTGCCGGAATAGAGTTGTTTATAGTATTCCTTGATTGTCCTTTTAATGTCCGTCAGATCTGTAGTGATGTCTCTTTTATTTCTATTAGTAATTTCTGTCCCCTCCCTTTTTTTTTTTTTAGTTATCTTGGCTAGAAGTGCATCAATTTTATTAATCTTCTAAAAGACCAGCTTTTGGGTTCATTGATTTTCTCTATTGATTTTCTGTTTCCAATTTTATTGATTTATGCTCTAATAGTTATTACTTTTCTTATTTTGGATTTGATTTACTCTCCTTTTTTCAAAGATGGAAATTTAGATATTAATGTTAGATCATTTTTCTTATTTAGTATATGTATTCAATGATACAAATTTCCCTCTAAGCACTCTCTACTGCATTTCACAAATTTTGATAAATCATGTTTTTAATTTTGTTTAGTTTAAAATATTTTAAAGATTTTCCTGGGATTTCTTTTTTGGAGCATGTGTTATTTATAAAGTGTTTAGTCTCTATGTATTTTGGCATTCCAACCATCTTTCTGTAATTCCATTGTGTTCTGAGAACAGACAATATATTATATTTATGTTACTTTAAATTTGTTAAGATGTGTTTTATGGTCTAGAATATGGTCTATCTTGAATGTGTATTCTGCTGCTGATGGATGAAGTACTCTACAGATGTCACTTATATCCAATTGATTAATGCTGTTGTTGAGTTCCACTATATCCTTACTATGTCCTGCCAGATCTGTTCATTTCTCATGGAGGGGCACTTGAAGTCTCTAACTATGATAGTGGCCTCATATATTTCTCTTTGCAATTTTATAGTTTTTGTCTCATGCAGTTCGGCGCTCTGGTGTTAGGCACATACCCATTAAGGATTATTATATCTTTTAGGAGAATTGACCCCTAAAAATTATGTAATTTTTATTACATAATTTTATGTCATTATGTAATACCCTTTTTCACCCCTGATAATCTTTTTTGCTATGAAGTTTGCTTTGTCTAAGACTAATATAATCTTTCTTGCTTTCTTTTTTTTAACCCTCACCTGAGGTCATGCTTATTGATTTTAGAGTGAGGGAAAAGGAGGGAGACAGAGAAAGAGAGGGAGAGAAACATTAGTGCAAGAAACATTGACCACCTCTCATATGTACCCTGACCAGGACTGAACCCACAACCTAGAAATGTGCCCTGACTGGGAATCGAACCCATGACCTTTTGGTTTATGGGACAACACTTCAACCAACTGAGCCACACTGGCCAGGTCTATTCTTGCTTTCTTTTAATTAGTGTTAGTATGATACATTTTTCTTAATCTGTTTACTTTTAATGTATATGTGTCTTTATATCTAAGGCAGGTTTCTTGTAGACAACATATTGTTATCTCTTGTTTTTTTAATCCATTCTGACAATCTTTATCTTTTAATTTGTGGATTTAAATTATTCAAAGTAAATTTTTATATAGTTGGATTAATATCTACCATATTTTTTACTGTTTTCTATTTGTTGCCCTTATTTTTTGTTCTTATTTTCGCTTCTACTTTTAGTCTGTCTTTTATGATTTTAATAGAACATTCTATGTGATTTGATTTTCTTTCCTTTGTTAGCATATCAGATATAGTGGTTTTTTTTTTTTTACTTTTTTATAGTAGTTGCACATGAGTTTGCAATATATGTATAGTTAATCCAAATCCACCTTCAAATAACACTATACCAGTTCCTAGGTAGTGCAAGCACTTATTGTTGGGTTTTAAGAGTCCTTTATATATTTGGCATTCAAGTTCCTTATCTGGTGTATGATTTGCAAACATTTTTTTATGCTGTGAATTTTTTCACTTTCTTGATGTTGTATTTGGAAGCACAAAAAATTTTAATTTTGCTAATGTACTGTTGATGATTGTTGTTGTTGCTCTTGCTGTTTGTGCCTTTAGGGTCATATGTAAGAAAGCATTGCCTAATCCAAGTTCATCAAGATTTATACCTATATTTTCTTCTAAGAGTCTTGTGGTGTTAGCTCTCATAGTCAGGTCTTTGATACATTTTGAGTTAATTTTGTGTATGGTGTGAGGTAAGAGTCCAACAGTATTCTTTCGTATGTGGATATCCACCTGTCCCAGCACCATTTGTTGAGAAGACTATTCTCTTCCCATCTTCAATGATCTCAGCACCCTTGTCAAAGGTCAACTGACCAAAAATATGAGGGTTTATTTTTGGATTCTCAACTCTATTCCATTGATCTTTATGTCTATCCTTTGCCAGTCCTACACTGTCTTGATTATTATAGCTTTGTATGTAGTAAGTTTTGAAATTGGGAATTGTGAGTCCTCCAGCTTTGCTTTTTTTCATGATTGTTTAGGCGATTCTGCATTTTTTGAATTTCCATATAAATTTTAGGATCAGCTTGTCAATTTCAGCTGGAATTTTGATGGGATAGTGTTGAACCTGTAGATCATTTTGGAGATTCTTTAAAAAAAAATTTTTTTTTTTAAATCCTTACCAGAGGATTTATTTATTTATTTATTTATTTATTTTTACTTTTTAAAACATTTTATTTATCTATTTTTAGAGAGGGGAGAGGGCAGGAGAAAGAGAGGGAGAGGAATATTGATAGGTGGGAGAAACATCGATTGGTTGCCTCTCACTCGTGCCCCAATCAGGAACCAGGCCTACCACTCAGATGTGTGCTCTGACCAGAATCAAACCTATGACCTTTCACTTTAAAGTACGATACTCAACCAACTGAGCCACACTGGTCAGGGCTAGGAGGTTATTTTCACCTTAATGATAGTAAGTCTGCTAATCCATGAACACAGGATGGTTTCCCATTTATTTAGGTCTTTTAAAATGTCTTTGAACAATGTTTTGCAATTTTCAGAGTATAAGTTTTACTTTTTTTTTTTTTTTTTGGTTAAGTTTATTCTTATTTTGATGCTTTTATACATGAATTTTTTCTTATTTTTTTCTGGATTGTTTGTTGCAGGTGTATAAAATACAATTAATTTTTAAAAATACTGACCTTGTATTCTGCATCCTGCTGAACTCGTTCAGTCTATCTTTTTTTCAGATCCCATTTCAAATCCTGACCGGACACCAGCACATTGTGAATTCTTGTCACTTCTGTGTGGATGACACAAAGCTCCTCAGTGGCTCCTATGACGGCACGGTGAAGCTGTGGGTAGGTGGCCCCATGTTAGGTGGAGCCAAAACATCCTATAAGCTTATGTCACCTCTTGTGGAGAGTCTCCGGTACTGAGTTTCTGGACTCCCAAAGATCACGAAGAGTTTGAGAGGCCTTTCCCAGCAAAGTGCAAGAAGGAGAAGCAAAGTGAGGGCTCACACTAGTGTCAAGCCACTGGAGAGAGATGAGGTTAGTGTAGCTGCTGTTAGACTGTTGATTTGGAAACAGTGGGAGCAGGGGACGAACACTACTGGACTCGGAGCTCTTCACCATTTGTTGGAGGGTCTCAGCAGTGCCTTGGGCCCAGCTGGAGTGTCTGGGCTGTGTCATCCCTTTGGGTCTCCTTCTCACTTGGAAAATTGAGTTCTATCCACAGACATGATATGACCAGGGCTGGCTGGTCACCGAGGACAGAAAAGTGGCCAGGCCTGGGACCTGTTGCTGAGGAGAGGTTGGTAGAGGCAGGCCTGAGGTCACTGTCCCAAAGTGCAGGAAGCAGGGGCTCAGGGAACAGGGGCATGATGGTCAAACAAGATTGCAGAGAGGTGGCCACCAAGAACTTTTTCGAAGACTTCTGGGCATAGACAGCAGACCCAGGCAGGCCTGTTGGGGGCCATTGCTGATCAGTCAGGAGCAGGGCTGGCGGATGGCAATGTTCCTTAGGGGCTAGGCCACAGATGACCATGTGGCTGGAGCTGGGCTCAGGACAATCCGTGCTGATTTTTGTTTTTTCCTCTGACATCAGGGGCAGGAAAGGGACAGGGTGGAGTGAGGCCAGGTTGGTTCCTGGGTTTCGGTCCAGGCAACTGGGTGGAGGATAGCTTCTCACCCTCCAGATGACCTTGGAGGAGCATTTTCTGTGTCATTGGTGGGTGCCAAGGCCAGGCAGTCTAGGCAGGAGGGTTTGGGAACTGTCCAGGTGGTTCAGACCCCACATTGGGATCCACTAGCTGTGTGACCCTGGATGATGGCCCTTTACCCTTTTGAGCTGGATGAGAGTCACAGGACCACGTGGTTCTCATACTTTGCTGTTGCAGACAAGCTCAGGGCTGATGTGGAGCTCAATTCACAACTTCAGTCAACGCCTCAGTGACCTCTCCCTCTCTGTCCTTCTCTCCTGTTGATTTGAGGATGCTGTGGATGGATCTGTTGTTCGGGATTTTGAGCATGGGCCCGGAGCTCCTGTTTTAGAGTGCAGTGTCACGGCTGACAGCAGAAGGTGACCTTTCCTTCCCTTATGCTGGTCAGGAAAAGTGAGAGTAAAGAGGCAGGTCAGCGTACAGCACACCGGGGACAGCTGAGTAAAAACAATATGGGAACTTAACTTTCACAGAAACTTATCTTATATAGGGGACAAAAGTTGCCAAGGAAACATATAATATAACAAGACAAAGGTACATGTTTATTATTTTACTAAGTGTGCAATAAAACATTTCAGAATGAAATGGCCTATCTGTTAAAGTATCTTTCTGTTAATGATTGATCCTTGTGAGGTGTAGATAACACTTTAGAAGAAGATGGTCAGTTATAGAACAGAGGAGATGGGACCTTTAATGCCCTAACCATGAAAGAACAGATTTGGACGGCTGAGGGGGTTAAGGAAGAGAATGGTGCTGGAGTGATGATTTGGCATTAAGTTCTCTCTGTTTTTAGTGAGAACCCACCACTCTCAGGGGGTGGAGTGGGGAAGTCATGGAGCATCGTTAGAGAGATCCCCCTATTATTTGCATTCTTGGTCCTGAATTATCAAAATTTTCCATGAGGAAACTATACACATAACTGTCTCTATCAAAAAGACCCTGTGCTTGTCATTTTATTCCCAGAATTGTCGCAGCAGCCTATGATAAGACACTGAGGACTTGGGACCTTGAGACAGGCAAGTTGCTGGTAAGTTTGCTTTGCCCCGGTGGAGACATCGCAGCACAGGGCCGTGACTGTGCCTTCCGGAGCCCTGGGTTGGGCATGGGATGAAAAGAGAAGCCAATCTTCCAGGAAAAGAGAATTTTCTCTGGGACCCAAGATGGCAGAGGGTGGGTATTGGAGAAGGAAAGTGTCCTGGAGCAGGCAAAAGGAAGGCTCTGTTTGAAGGATGGATACACGGAAGTGTGGGGGTGGGGTAGGGTAAGGAGTCATGGCGTTTCAGGCTGACCCTCCCCTGTGAGGTGTCTGGATTTGATGATGCCACAGGAAAAGGCCACCTGGCCAGAGCATGAGGGTTCTGGGCCCTTCCCTGTCTGCTCTCCATCTTGGAGGGAGCACCGCCCATCCATCCAAACCGCTCCGAGATCCCCTCTGCCTGCTGCCTGGTGCCCGGGCAGCCCCACCCTGCTCAGGCATCTGTTCAGGGTCTCCAGTCCTGTCCCTTCTCCAAGCAGCTCCTCAGTGCCTCTACTCTCCCTTCCTCCTCTTTTCTCTCCTTAAAAAAACAATCTTTCTCTTAGTGCAAAGATCAATTTATAGTCATTGTAAAAATTTTTTAGAAAGACAAGCCAATATTATAAATATAAAAACATTAAAACTCCCAAAGATTATAGTTAACATTTTTCTGTCTCTTTTCCTATGTTTATCCATGTTTACATATGAACTCAGACAAGTATGTTCTGTCAACAACATAGTACTATTTAAGTACACGTCAGCATCATCTTTTTTAATGTGAGCATGGATTCCATGGGATAAACACGTCTGCTGTATTTCACGTTTCCCTGTGATAGGACATTAAGGCTGTTTCCACTTTATCATAACCAATGTTTCAATGAGGAAGGTTTGTATACAATTTTTATACATAGGCACCATTGTTTTTTGAGTATGTAGCTGGATTCTATTGCTAATTTGGTCTAGAAACATGGTGCTTCTTAAATTGCCCTCCAGAAATCTGTGCCAACTCATACCCTAGGCCCCAGAGGAGAGCCTGCTCTCTCCCAACCTCACATGCCAGATATTATAATTTTAAAAAATTAACCAATTTTGTAGGTGAAAAATGAGACAAGCACTGATCTTTAAGCATTTCTCCAAATGTTTATTTCTTCTTTTATAAATTTCCTTTTCTTGTTGCCAGTTTTTCCATTTGGGATGCTTTCTTTATTTTCTTTAAACTTTTTTTTAGTACTTCGATTTATTTTTGTTGCACAAGCCATCCATGCCACTTGCTGCCTCTAGAGCTAAATTAATTATCCACTGATGTTTGATAAGTTACTTCAAAACGTAGCAGCTTCAAACAACATGCGTTTATTTCTCACACAGTTTCTGAGTCAGAAATCTAGGAGCAGCTTAGCTGGGTGGTTGTGAGGGCACAGTTAAGAAGTCACCCAGGACTCCAGTCATCCGAAGGCTCAACCAGGGCTGAGGATCCCTTTCCAGATGGTGCCTCACCTGGCTTTTGGCAGGAGGCCTCAGTTCCTCTCTACGTGGGCCTCTCTGTAGGCTGCTTGAGTGTCCTCAGGACATGGCAGTTACTCCTGCAGAGGACGTCATCTAAGAGAAAGCAGGGAGGAAGCCATGGTCTCTTTTATGACCATCACTTCTACCATATTTGGTTTATTAGAAGCAAGTCGCTAAGTCCAGCTCACACTTAAGAGGCAGGGAATTAGTTTCCACCTTTGGGAGGGAAGACTGTCAAGTAATTGGTGGGCATATTTTAAAACTGTCACCATGGTGATACTATAATTTGTAACAGACAGACAGATCCTCCTTTCCTAGAATATTGAGCAGCGCATTGTCCCCTTAGTGTGGTTTGGTGCCAGCCTTCCCCAGGGGGCTGTGAACTGTCCGAGGGACTGGGGCGGTAGTGCCTCATCTACAGTGTCAGGCAATACCACTTGTTTACCAGAGTGAACAGGAATGAAGTCGGCCATTATTAGAACCATGCTGCCAGTTCTGCAGGGTGCTCTCTTAATTCTTGTCCATCTATCCTGGACACACATTAATTATATTTATTAATTGAATAGATTAATTAAAACCAAAAATACTTAAAAATTCAGTTTCTTACTTGCACTAGCCCACTACAAGTGCTCAAAGGCCACCTGTGGCCAGTGGCTGGGATATGGACCATGCATAGAAGGAATATTTTCATCACCGCAGAAAGCTCTACTGAAGAGCTGGGCTAGAGAGAAAACAACCTTTTGACTGTTGCCCTATTGCAGTGGAAGATCAGTCATGAAAGCATCATAGCCTCCTGTAAGTTTTCTCCTGATGGTAAATATGTGGTCTCAGGCTTGGAAGTGGATCATGGAATCTGGATAACAGACGCGAAAAATGCCACAACTGTGTCACACATCAGGGGTGAGTTTGCATGATCAGGAGGGATGAAGTATCTCGCCTTCCTCTCATGGTCCCTGGCAGGCTGTGGGGCACTGTCCATTCAAGGGTGAATCCCCATCAGACGGGGAGCTCTGCTGGGACAGGGAGCGGGTCGGCTGTGCTCCTTGTTCAAAGCCTGATGCACATGGTAAGCACTCAGGAATGTGTGAGTGAATAGACCCTAGTGAAAACTGGAGTTGTGTTTCTGGAATATTGTCACTGTCTGGGGAGTAGTATGAGCCTCTGGGCTGCATGAAGCTTTTAACTTGGAATATGGACCATGCACACAGCAAAACCCTTTCCCTGTGCCTCAGATCATCACAAAAGACCAGTCACAGCCTGCTGCTTTGGCCCTGATAGCCAGAAGGTGGCTTCCGTTTCCTTGGACAGGAGCATCAAGATCTGGGATGTTACATCCAAGGCCACACTGCTCACCATCACTAAGTGAGGAGGGGCCCCAGGAGGCTGGGCAGTGTCCTGTAGCAGGGAGGTGGGTGGGGGTCCCCATCCATGCTCTCCTGGACTTGGCCTGCACACCTGCAGCTTGTGAGCCACCATCCATGTTGGGCACCCCCAACTTTTGTCGTGGGTGCTCCAAGGAGGCTGGAGAGGGAGAAAGGGAAGAAGGAGGGCAGCCTGGGAAACTACCAACTGTGACCTGTCAGCTGGGACAGGCCTCAGGTGAACTTGTTTCAATGTGAGTTTATATAACCTCAACTGATTTTGAAGCTTGCAAGGAGTAAACTTAAATATGTTGTTATATTTATATATTTATAAATGTAATTTAGAAAACTCAAGAAGGAAAGTCTACTGTATTTACCCATACTTTTACTTACTGTGTTCTGTCTTCCTTTCTAATGGTCCAAGTTTTCTCCTTTTACTGCTTTTTTTCTGTTCAGAAAAACTTCCCTTAGCCATTCTTTTAGGGTAGGTCTGAGAGCCATAAAATCTCTTAGTTTTCCTTCATCTGAAAGTGTCTTGATTTCCCCTCCATTCCTAAGGATATTTTTACTGGATATAGAAATCTGGGTTGACAGGTTTTCTTTTTCTTTCAGCATTTGAAACTGTCATGTCACTTTCTCTGGGCCTCCAACGTTTCCGATGAGAAATCCACTGTCATTCAAATTGTTTTTTCGCTTATAGGTGAGGTGTCATTTATCTCTTGCTGCTTTCAAGGTTTTTCTTTGTCTTCAGTTTTCAGAAATTTACTTATGATGTGTCTGGGTATAGATTTCTTTGCACTTTTCTATTTGGAATTATATAGCTTTTTGAATCTATAGGTTTATGTCTTTTGTCAAATTTGGTAAAATTTCAGATGTAACTTGTTTGATTACTTTTCAGCCTCACTCTCTTTTTTCTTTTCTTCTGGAACTCTGATGAAACAAATACTTAGATATTTTACCTAGAACCACAGATTTTGGAGGTTCTAGGGGTTTTTTCAGTTGACTTTTTGCATAGGTTAATTTATATTATCTGACTTCATAGTCACTAATGCTTTCCTCTCTCCTCCCCATTGAGGGTTTTTTTTGTGTGTGTTTTTTTTTTTTGGTTACTGTATTTTTCAGTTCTGAAATTTCCACTTGATCATTCTTTATATCTTCTTCTTCTTTTTTTGCTGAGGATTTCTATCTTTTTGTTTGTTTCAGGCAAGATTATAATTGTTCATTGGAGCACTTTTATGATGGCCACTTAAAAACCCTTGTTGGAGAATTCTCAGGTCTGTGTCATCTCAGCGTTGGCATCTGTTGATTATCTTCCTTATTTATGTTGAGATTTTCCTGGCTCCTAGTATGATGACTGATTTTTAGTTGTATCCTGGACATTTTGGGTATTACATTAGGAGAGTCTGTGTCACTTAAATGTTCTATTTTAGCAGGCCGTCTCATACGGCCTGGCAAGGGTGACAGTCTAGGCTCCCGTCTCGGCTCCCGTCTCGGCTTTTGCTGACAGGGGTAGGGATGGGACTGCATTTTTCTTCCATCTATTTGGCTACAGTACAGTGGGTACTGTCTGAAGGTGCTCTGTTGTGTTGGGCTGTCCCTTTGGTAGGAAGAACGACTTTACTTGGAGGCCTATTTTTTTGCTGTTCCCCATAGTAGTTTTAAAAAAAGATTAGTTACAAGCTTTTCCAGTACCCAGTCCAGAATATATGAAGCAAAAATAAAACCCTAGAGACCTACAGCATGTCATCCTTGGGACCCAAGGGTCCTACCTGTTCTGCCTTCTTTTCTTCACTTTTCATACTCTTCTGCTTGATTTATAAATGCCCAGGGTTGTTAGCTGTACTTAGCAGGAAGAATAGAGAGAAGTGCATTGACTCCCTCTTGTCCAGATGTGCACATGCAACATAAGCACTTCCCCCGACGTTTGTACTAAGAAAAAATGGACTTTTGTAAGAAGTGGAATTTATTTGAAATGAGAACTCCATCCTGGAAAATAGACACAGCCCTTGTTTCAACCCCAATGACAGGGCCAGGATGCTGGACTGGTTCTTAGCCTTTCCAACAGGCACAGGGATTTGGCAAGTTTTACCCTGGACACCCTTGGGAAGTTGACTTTTTTCCCTTTGATCTTGCTCAGTTTGCGCATTTCAAAGAACTGAAACAGAGTCCAAAACTCTGACCGAGCTCTAGAAAACAGTTTTGTCCAACTTTTTCCTCAGATAAAATGATTGATTTTATGAATCAGACTACTCAGAGATGCTCATTTATGTTTATAGGTTTGCTTGAAAACTCTGTTTATAACAAGAGATGAGAATCATGGGAAAAAATACTTTGAAGATCACAAACAAACAAAAGAGCAGAAAAATGCTGACAGATTTTTTTTTCTTTTCCAAAACAAGAAAACATTTACAAATTGAGAATGGATAACCCAGAACTTTATTAATTAAATACACAACATTAAAATATGCTTTAATGACACTGAAGACAGATGAAAAGAGAGGGAAAGAAAGAAAGAGAGAGAGTGCAATTGGGGTGCAGAGAAGTAAGTGAGAGAGGGATGGGGGAGGAGGGCAGGGAGGAGTAGCCAAACCTCCATGTCTTGGAGAGAAAAGAGGCAGAGAGCGAACAGGAGAGGCCCATTCTGTGGGACCCAGCGCCCAACCCGAAGGGCTGTTAGTCCTTTCACCACCACTGACAGCTTTCCCAGCTGTTCTTTTTCCTCAAGCAGCTCTGAATAGTGCAGCGGTTCTCAATTGGGGCAATTTTGTACCCCGGTGGACATTTGGCAATGTCTACAGACATTTTTGGTTGTCACAACTAGGTGTAAAGGCACCTGGCATCTAGTGGGTAGAGCCCAGGGATGCTGCCAAATATATTACAATATACAAAAGAGCTCCTACCACAAAGAGTTACTCAGTACAAATATCAATATTGCCATGACTGAGAAATCCTGGAATGGTGTGACTACGTTAGAGCAATTACTGTCTGGATCATAGTTGGCAGCGACTGAAGGAGTTCCAGTGCCCTCTCCCTTCACACCTGCCCCCGCGCCCCCGCCTTTAGGTGTGCCCGCAGATTTTCCAGGAGCACGGAGCTAGCATGTGCACCCTTCCATCTGTTTCAGGGCACACAACAACGCAATCTCAAACTGCTGTTTTACCTTCAGTGGCCATTTCCTGTGTACAAGCTCTTGGGATAAAACTTTAAAAATATGGAATGTCCATACTGGGGAGTTTCGGAACCGTGGAGCCTGTGTGACTCTGATGCAGGGCCACGAAGGATCTGTGAGTTCCTGCCACTTTGCCAGAGACAGTGAGTAATGAACACAGAGGAAGATTCTGTACCCATAGGAGTGCTTGGGCAGAGCTCCTCATGTTTCATTTGCATGAACTTTCCTTAGCACCTAGAGATGATTTTCAGTATCACTGGCAATGAGGGTGGATTTATTTTCCACAGGAACAAAGAAGCCGGGAGGGAGATTCATAGGCACAAGTTTGTAAGTGACAAAAACTCAGCTCAACGTGACTTCATTAACTCCTGTGATGGGAAAGTCCAGGAGCAGGTCTCACTTCAGGTGTGGCTGGGTCCAGACACACAGACAGTGCTCTTGGGAAGCCAACTCTTCTACTCTTCCTCTCAGATTTGCTTCTTTCTTGTGTTGGTATTTCTCCCCAAGTAGGCAGAATGGCATCAGGTTGTTCAGGCCAACGATTCTGGCTGCTGGCAATCCTGGAGAAGGAAGCTCCTTCTGATGGTGCCAGCACAAGTCCCATAGAAGACTCCCATTGACTCAGCTTGAGTCACATGATCATCTCCGAATCAATCACTTTGGCAGGTCATGAATAGTACTGATTGGCCAGGTCTGAGTAACTTGCCCACCCCAGAGTTATACCTTAGGGTCAGTCCACTCTGAACCAGAGAGTCTGATAAGAGGTGAGGGAAATTGGGAAACTAATTCCAGATGAAAGGGCAAGGATGCGAGCAGAGGCAATGACAGGGAGCTGCCATGGCTGCAACCCCAGTGGGGGAAGTGACGGTTCCTGATACCCAGGAGCCAAAGGGTACACTCCTCCATCCCCATGGAGTGTGTGTGTGTATATTGGGAGGAGCACCCAGCAAGTGCGCGCGCGCGCGCGCGCACACACACACACACACACACACACTCAGGGTCTGACCTGAGAAATGCCAGGATTTTTCTGAATAACTTTCCTTCTTCAGAAGCACCCTCTGTGTAAGTCCAACCCCACTATGAGGCACCCCACCAGTTTCTGTCCTTGGCTTTATTGGGTTCAGAACGGCACATAGTCAGTTGTTGCTATTTGTGGCCATATTTCTAGATTTGCCTACTGACTAATATTTATTTACAACCCTGAAGTCAATTCTCAGGGCACTTATGTGAAGTGCAGCAAAAAGTTTGGGTTAGCCTGTGCATACATTTCCAGCTCAACTTGAACAAGGTGCCTTGCTGCCTTCTTCTTTCATCTCTCTTATCATAAAGTATACTTTCTGTGGTCTATTTAGTACGATGTTTTTCAGTTTGAGCTTTTAGTTGGTGATTTAGCTGTTTAAAATGGTACCCTAGCATAATGTTGAAGCACTGTCCAGTGTTCCTAAGTGCAAGAAGGCTGTGATGTGCATTATGGGGAAAACACATGTTAAAGAAACTTCATTTAGGCATGAGTTATAGTGCTGATGGCCGTGAATTCAATAGTAAATGAATAAGAAATATATGTCAAATAAGGTGTCTTTAAAGAAAAACAGACATAAAACAAAGTTATATATTGATTGGTTGAGGAAATGCTATGACCAGAAGCTCACAGGAACCTAACCCTGTCTTTTTCTTAGGAGCAATGGTTCAGTATTTGCTAATTCAGTGTTTGTGATGACATGACAGAATAGAACTACCATTAATAATGAGAATTGACTGTATCTGGGGGTGGGTGAACCATCAGGAAGGGGTTAGAGTGTCCTCAGAGTGAGCCATGAGGCACCTTGCTAATGCAGCCTCAGTCTGCTTTGACTTCACCAGTGGAGGAGGCAGTTGGCTGGGGAAGATGACCCCTCGGGACTCTTTCATTTTGTGTTGCAGCATCTTTTCTCGTATCTGGAGGTTTCGACAAGACTGTGGCTATTTGGGATGTAGGAGAAGGCTACCGGAAGCTCTCCTTGAAGGTACCAATGCCAGCACAAGATAGATCATCTGAGCTTTGTCCCTTAGTCATTCCATGCTGGGTGCTGGATGCTGGGGAGATGGCAGACCTCGATGGTGCACATGGAGCTGACACATTTGTGGGGAAGGACAAACAAATCATCAACAATGATGAGTGAAATGGAAGAACTACAACAGGGACTGTGGGTCTAATCAACAGTGGAAGGGAGGGAAGGGAGGGCCTCATGGAGAAGGTGGCCTTTGAGCCAAGGAATAGATGACAAGGAAGGACTGGATGAGTGAGCATCTTGAGGGTGGGCATCCCAGGCAGATAGAACAGCAAATGCAAAATCTCAGAGATGGGGAAGTGTCTAGGAACAGCAGAAATTACTGTGTGGAAGGCTGAATGCTGCAATGGGGCGTATACCAAAAGCTGTGGGGCTCCAAAATGGAGGGTGTCTATTCAGTGCTTTTGGCTGCACTTTAGAGAAGCCTCCACTCAAAGTAGCTCTATAATAAAGGGGTGGGTTAGCCAAAGCAGCCAGAATCCAATGGTGAGGCAGTCCCAGCACTGGCTCCTTCAGTGCCTCTGTCCCAGGTGCCTTCACCTCAGGATTTCTGTGTACTCCCTGGTCCTATGACTTCATGGCTGCCATTGGCTGGGAGTGCTTGCATCCATGAGCCTTGGTCTCTCTCTCCCCTGTGACCCAAGTGTAGACAATTCCCCTTGCTCACCGCAACATGCAGGCTCCCAGGGCTTGTCTGTCTGAGCTCTCTTCTTTGAGAGTTTGGAGAGGCAAACATAGCAAATAAACAGCTTGATACAGAATGTTCAACCTCCTTGTGCTTTACATTACGTCCCTTTGTCCCTCTATTAGTTTGTTTTACTCACTTTTCTTCTCCTCTCTCCCATCTCTCTATTCTTCCACCCTCAAATTTCTGTCCTTTTGTTCAGGAGTTTAACCTTCTTTCTGGTTTCCTGTCCTCCTGCTGAGCCATGTTGCCTCACTGTCCACCGCTTTCCATGAGGGAAAGGCCGAAGAACTCTAAGGATTCTGTATTAAGTGTCTGACCAACAATGCTATCTCTCTCCTCTGAGCTCCTTTGTATCTGAGGAGAACACTCCCCCATTTTCTTAAGGAATGGTGAATTAGGTTTGCAGTCACTTGAAGCCAAAAGCCCCCTCACCAACTGGACCTCCGAGTAGAATTTCCTAGAACAAAGAAAGCAAGCAAAAACCTGCAAGAGGTACTCTGGTACCAGCTGGGAATACAATAATTCTTTTCCCATCCTGCTGTTTAAAAACCACACACAATGCCATGACATATGCGTGTATCACAAGGCTTTACACTGTATTCCACCTAAATGTCCTTGGTGTAACCAGAGAGGCACAATTAGTTACTCTGAAACGTAACCAACATCGGGTTCTTCACTTTTCCGTTGTTTTTGTTTTTCTTACAAAAGCTTTTCCTCTAGGTCCTTATTAAAACTCTATTTTGCTTCAGGGTCATAAAGACTGGGTGATGGATGTTGCCATTAGCAACAACAAGAAATGGATCTTGTCTGCTTCAAAGGTAAAAGCGGCCAACCTTTGAGTGACTTAAAATCTCTTTTGCCTTTGTGAGAACTGGTAATAACAGAAGGGCTATTGTCAAGTAAAATTCTTGAGCAGGCTCAGTCTGAGAGCCACAGCTGACCAGGTCATCCCCATCCAGGGAGTTGCCTGTACGTGGAAGGCAGGTCCCTCTGTCTGCTCATGTGGGGGTTTGCCAGGTATTTCTGTCTCTGAACCACAGACATTTGAGTTTTGCTGGAGCAAGGGCCTGGCCAGACTGGTGAGTGGTAAAGCCAACAAGGGGCCTTGGAGGGAAAGACATCTGCTTGTAGACAAGCATCAGAGACCATCCTGAGGTCACAGATGGATCTTCCCTCCCTACCTCACTACATCCTGGGATTCCCATTCCAACAGCACATAGCGGCTAGCCCAGGACATCCCGAGGGCTGTCCTCCAGCTGTGAGCACCAGAGAGATGGCTTTTGGAGCCTTTATTGGAGCCATGTCATTCTCTAGGCTGGGAGTTTCTAGGTCTATGAGGCCATGGGCAAGACTCTGCATTCCATGACCAACTTGTTAGGGAGCCAACCTGCGACACTGCCACACCTGACAGAAAAACCATAGTATATAATACATAATAAAAATTCTATGCCTAGATGGTCTTATTTTAATATAAAAATGTGAAAATGATTATCTCAATTATATTTCAGTAAAGCTGGAAAAGAAAGAAGTAAAAATAAAAAACAAAATAAGAAAAATGAGAGTTCATTTGAAATTATGTTGTATTCTGTATTTTTTTACTTTTTTGTTACATAAATGCTATTATTTAAACAAAACAACAATAGGACTATTTAACAGCAGCAATTATTAGTAATTTAATAGTAGAACTAATTAAATAAGTATATTTAAGAAAAATATGTAAATGTTTTATAATATTTCTTTCTATTCTCTGATATAGCTATTTATTTAGATTTTAAAATAGTCTTTATTGTATATTTAAAATTTTTTAGGCTGTATTATGGTACATTCTTAAGATACATAAATGCTAAACTTTATTAAAAAAAGAATATAAATACAATAGGATTAATTAGCTATTACTTGCATTTACTTATATATTTATTTATTACAGCTTTATTGAGACATAACTGACATATAACATTGTATAAGTTTAAAGTGTACAACCTGTTGATTTGACATACTAATATACTGGCCAGTGATTGCCTCCAAAACATTAGTTCATACCTCGATCCTGTCACAGAATTCCGATTTCTTTTTCGTGGTGAGAAAATTTATAATCTATACTCTTATCAAGTTTCAATTATGTAATATAATATTATTAACTATAATCAAAACACTATACATTAGATCACCCAAAATTACTCATTTTATAACTGGAAGGTGGTACCCTTTGACCAACATCTCCTCATTTCTTCCATCCCCAACCCTTGGTAAATGCTATTCTTCTCTCTGTTTCTACTGCAGTCTAAGTGCGATCACTCAGTGTTTGTCTCTCTCAGTCTGACTTATTTCACTTAGCATTATGTCTTCAAGGTCTGTTCATGTTGCTGCAAATGGCAGCATTTCCTTCTTTCTCATGGCTGAATAATATTCCATTGTATATACATGCCACATCTTCTTTATCCATTTGTCCATTGACAAGCGCTTAAGTTGTTTCCCTATCTTGACTATATCTTGAATAATGCAATGAACGTGGGAGTGCAGATATCACTTTGGGGTCTTGTTTTCATTTCCTTTGATATATACCCAGAAGAGGATTGCTGGGTCATACGGTAGTTCTATTCTTTTGTGGACTCTCCACACTGTTTTCCATAGTCACTGTATCAGTTTACACTTCCACCAGTAGTACACAAGGGTTCCCCACATCCTCACCAACACTTACCTCTTGTGATTTTGGTGATAGCCATTCTAACAGGTATGAGGTGATGATATCTCATTGTGGTTTTGATTTGCATTTCCCTGATTATTAGTAATACTGAGCACCTTTTTCATGTACCAATTGGCCATTTGTATGTCTTCTTTGGAGAAATGTCTATTCAGTTCCTCTGCCCATTTTTTAATTGGAATTTTTTGTTATTGAGTTGTATGAGTTCTTTATATATTTTGGATATTAACCCCTTATCAGATACATGATTTGCGAATATTTTCTTCCATTCCATAGGCCTCCTTATCATTTTGTGTATTTTGCTATGCAGAATATTTTGAGTTTGACTTAGTCCCACTTACTCATTTTCACTTTTGTTTCTTGTGCTTTTGGTGCTGTATCTGAAGAATCGTTGCCAAGACCAATATCCATGAGCTTTTCCCCTATGTTTTCTTCTAGCAATTTTACACTATTGGGTCTTAAGCTTTTTGAGTTAATTTTTGTGAGTGGTGTGAGATAGGGGTCCCATTTTATTTTTTTGTGTGAGGTGATCCAGTTTTCCCAACACCATTTTAAGAATGAATCAACTAACTTTTCTCCGTTAAATATTCTTGGCTCACTTGTCAAATATTAGTTGACTAGATGTGTGATGGTTTATTTCTGGGTTCTCTATTTTTATGCCAGTACCTCACTATACATTTGTGGTATAGTTTGAAAACAGGAAATGTGGTGTCTCCAGCTTTGTTCTTCTTTCTTAGGATTGTTTTGGCTATTTGGGGTCTTTTGTCATTCCACAAAAATTTTAGAATTGTTTTTTCTGCTTTTATAAAAAATGCCATTGAAATTTTGATAGAGATTGTATTAAATCTCTATCAGTTAATTCTTTTGATCTAGGAGCACAGAATATCTTTTATTTGTTTGTGCCTTTTGAACTTCTTTTATCAAAATCTCATAGTTTTCAATATATAGATCTTGCCCTTCCCTGGTTAAAATTATCCCTAAGTATTATATTGTTTTGATGCTATTGTGAATGGGATTGTTTTCTTTATCCCTTTTCCATTATTAGTGTATAAAACCACAAATGATTTTAAAAAATCCAAAATGTATTTATTGGGATGGATGCCACTCATCTTGACTCAGGGTGCTTTCAGTGCTCCCTCCTTCTGAGGAAGCATCCTCTGTGACCCTTGCTCTTCCTCCCGTTGGCTGACAGAAGACAGTGGAGCAGGCAACACACAAAACTGCCATTTATGCATGGCTAAGACAGTGGCGATCTTGTAGCATTTCACAACCGTGAAGTAGGAATCTCAGATCTGCACCAGGCACTTATAGTGTTTCCTTTTCTCTTCTGGAGAAGGATGAAAGAGATCCTTAGTGAGAGGCATGTCATCACTGGGAGTTTGCCACTGCTAGTAAGACCACAACTGATTTCTGTATGTTGATTTTGTATCTTACAACTTTACTGACTTTGTTGATTACTTCTAACAGTGTGTATGTGCGTGTGTGGTGTCTTTAGGATTTCCTAAATATAAGACTATGTCATCTGTAAACAAAGACAACTTTATTTCTGTCCTTCCACTTTGGATTTTTTTTATTTCTTTTTCTTGTCTGATTGCTCTGACTAGAACTTTCAGTACTATGTTAAATAGGAGGGCTTGCTTAAGGCAAAGATAAACGTTAACTAAGAAAGTTTTAGGCCTGAGGATTGATGACTACCCACCATGACCTGCCCAGTTAGGAATTTGTGATCAGAGTACCCTGTGAAGCTACTTTTGGTCACTTGAGCTTGTCAGATTTATTACAGAGTCCTTTTTTGTTCACAGATTAAAAACTTTTATTATCAAAGACCCAACATCACAGTTAAACAAATTACATTCCTTTTTAGGAGTGTTGTTGTATGCATATTATGCAGGGCATTTAACAGGTAAGATCTTTCATTTATTTTGGTAAGAAGTTAATAGACTGAATAGAATTTGCCAAAGTTTACATTTGCGTTGTTTGTTGAATACGTAAATGTCTAGTTTGTATTTAGGTGTCAGTATGCTTTTGTTTTATGTTCTCTGCAGTTTCATTAAAATTTCACAGAAATCAAGAAGGTGATTTGAAACTCCAACTCTTATTTTTTTTTAAAGATTTTATTTATTTATTCTTACAGAGAGGGGAAGAGTGGGAGAGAAGCATTAATGTGCGAGAGACATTTCGATCAGTTGCCTTTTGTACGCCCTCAACTGGACACCTGGCCCCCCACCCAGGCATGTGCCCTGACCAGGAATTGAATGGGCAACCTTTTGGTTCACAGGCCAGCACTCAATCCACTGAGCCACACCAGCCAGTGTAGAAACTCCAACTTTCAAATCAAAGTATCTAAAAGCTAGGAGGAACATTTTTTTGTTGTTATTGTTGCCATAATTGGATAAACCACTTTTTTTTTGTTGCTATGATTGGACAAATCACTTGATATGCTATAGAAAGTATTATTACTGGTAAAACCTGACAGCTCTACACTGCGAGGGGCCAGCACATACTTGTATGTAACCAAACTTTCCCCTTTTGTACTCCCACAGGACATTTAGCTGCAGCTGCTGAATCAGGAAATGTAACATAGTGTATTGGATTTTATTGCTGCTATAATAAATCACCAGAGACTACCACTCAAACAACGTAAATTTAATATCTTACAGTTCTGTAAAATAGAAATGTGGCAAGGTCTCACTGGATTGAAATCAAAGTGTCAACAAGACTGTATTCCCTTCTGAAGGTTCTAGGGGATAATCCATCTTCTTGCCCTTTCCACCTTCTAGAAACCACCCACATGTCTTGGCATGTGGCTCCCTCCATCTTTAAAGCCAGCAACATTGCCTCTCTCTTCCATAGTCACATATTCCTCTGACTGAATGTTCTGCTTTTAAGGATCATTGTGATTATGTTGGACTCACCTGGATAATTCAGAATAACCTCCCCAATAGCTAATTAGCATACTTAGTTAATTTGCAGCCTTGATTCCCCTTTGTCATGTAACCTAACATGTTCACAGGTTCTGCGGACTGGGATGTGGACTTCCCTGGGGGAAGGGCATTGTTCTGCTGAACACTCAGTTTTGTAAGACTGATTTGATAACAGATGTTCATTTGATAGTAT